GCTCCTCCGCGCCCCCCCACCTCCTCCGCGCCGCGCATCCTCCCACCGCACCGCCCGCCCGCGGGGGGCTCAGCCTTGGGCTGCCCCGCCGTGTCCCCCCCGCACGCCCCCTTGGCTCCTCAGCCCCGGGGATTGCCCCTTTTCCAGCCCCCAGGAGGGGTTTGGCCCCGGCGGGGCGGGCTCAAGGCAAAGCTCCCTGCGGGAATGGCCCGGGACCGGCTTTGGGAAGGGACAAAGCGGCACTCAGGCTGGTGGCTTCCCCTGCTGCTGCTGGGAAGGGGAGGAAAGGGGCCAAGGCTGGGGCTCAGCTCCCTGCCCTCCATCCCTGTGTCCCCCTCTGCCCCCCCAGGGCACACACCAGACAGCTCTGCAGCCACAGACGGGGGGACACGGAGCCAGGGGCAATCTGCCCGGCGCCAAAGGGAACACTTTGAAAACTTATTTTTCTCACCGTGAGCTTGTTCCGGGATAATGGGCTGTGCATGAGCTCAGGTCTCCACAACCTTTTCCTCACCGTCATATCCATTAGACCTAACCTTCGGCAGACCACATCCAAAAAAAGGGTGGTAGGGGCCCTCCTAATGGAGGCCTCTGATGACGCAGCGTGCCGAGATGGAGCTCTACCTTTGTGCCCAGGTCCATTAGGCAGCCAGACCCCTCTGCGGAGCAGCAATTTGCTGGAGGTGACGCATCCCGAGAAGAGGCTTGGCGGGAAGGGGGAGGAGGTGCTGCCATGCTCGCAGGAACAGCACTGCCCGTTTCTCGGGGCTGTAGCCCTTTCCTGGCACAGGGCACGGGTCCCAGCAAAGCTCCCCTGGGGGCCAGGCCAGGCTGGACCTCCCTTGCTGGGTACAGCACTACAGCATGGCTTCCCTCAATAGAAGTCCTGCTCTCCGGGTGTGAGAGCAGCTCACCCGCAGGGCTGCTGCCCAGAGCCCTGCCTGCACATCGGGGTGCCATGGCCTGTCACCTCCAGAGCGCTTTCAGAGACTCCTCAGCCCCACTCCAGCCCCCTTTGCAGCTCTCCCTCTTTCCCACCCGGTCAGGAACACGAAGCAGGAGGGAAGAGGAAGAGTAGGAGGCTTTGCAGGACGCAGGGGCATCCCAGGGGACCCTGAGAGGATGCCAGCAGCGCCTGTGGGTTGAGGAGCTAGGGCTGCAGGGCTGGCAACCGAGACAGGAAGAGTACAGGCAGAGCAGGCTGGGCAGCGCTGGCAGCCGGCGCTGCGGGAGCGGTGTGGGGAGTACTGCTGATGCAGCAGAAGGTGTCTCGGCGGGCACTGTGATGGATACGGCTAGGTGATGAACACGGCGAGGTGATGGATATGGCTAGGGGACGGATACGGCTTGGTGAGTGGAGACCCAGGCACAGGCGACCTGGCAAGAGGTGTGCTGAGACAGGAGGAGGAGGCCTGCATCTGCTGGAGCCTTGCTAATCAGGAGGGGAGGCACACCTCTGAGGAGGTACCCGCTGCAGGGAAAGGCCATTATGAGTGGAGGGCTCCTTCCCGGGATGCTCAGATGTCTTCCCAGTTTGCTGCCACGAAGGCGGGTGAAGTTGGGAAGGGTTTGGCCAAGCTGGCATTGTGAATCCCCCCAGCAGAGCCCTAAATCCTTTTGGAGGCTGGGAATTACAGCCCCATGCAGCTGGGAGGATCAGCCAGTAAGTACAAAAGGGCTCCTCTGGGCACTGGCACAAACCGGGTGCACTGGGCAGGCGGGTACCCAGCTTCTTCCTCGATGACATGCCCCTGCGGCCACTGTCTCCCCGCTGAGCATCTCTGCAGTGGCAGGGCTCCACATGCCCGGCCAGGAAGAGGCAGCGAGCCTGGCACCGTGCTGCCCGCTCCCGCTGCATGGCCGGGGTCAGCCGTGCCCTCCTGGCCACGCGGCCCCGGGGCTCGGAGCGGGACACTGCCTGTCACAGGAGCCTGATGGAGCTGTCACACTTGGCAGCTCTGGCCAGTCTCCTCGGCCGACTGCTCTCGTGAGACATCTGCCGCTGCCGCGGGCCGGGGAAAGGCTCTGCTCTCCCGCAGCCCGGCCTCGGTGAGCGACGTGTGCCGTGGCAGGGAAGGGCACTCCCCCCAGCTGGCCCCCCCCGGGGTTTTGGCACGATGCTGGGATGTCCGGCATGGGATCCGGGGATACTGCGGCTCAGCGGAAACTTCTTCTGCTGAGTCCAGCACGAGGCTGCCTGTGTCTGGTTTCGGGGAAGGCGAGCACCCTCTGCTCGGACACTGTCACCTCCTCCCCGGGGGGACAGGAAGAAGGGCTGCGGGGTCCTGCCAGCTGGCTCGCAGCCTGCTGGGGGGGTGACTGTGGCTACCAGGCCACTCCTCGTTCCCTCTCACCTTGCGCTCATGGAGCTGGGAGGGTTAAAAAGCTGCTCTCCGAGGAGGGCTCCTGCTTCCCTCCACGTGGGTACCTAGCGGGGTAGGGCTGAGCAGAGCAGTTGGGCTGCAGCCTCCCAGCTCAATGCAGCAGGCGCTGCACTGGCCCCGGCTGCCCTGGAGCGTCCTGCCAGGGACAGCCCTGGCCCCGCTCCTGCCAGCAACACACGGGCAGCCCCGGCCCCCTCCCAAGCCCCCCACAGCCAGGGGACGCTGGGCTCCGGGAGCAGGCAGAGCCCTCCTGCCGATGGAGGAGGTGGCGACGCTGGAACAGAGCTTCCCATCAGCACCTTTATATTTACTGCAAGGTCCTCTGGCTGTGACCTTTAAAAGACAAGGTGGCCCGGCAGCCCGGGAGCTGGCAGTGGGCAGGAGGCGCTGGCAGCGATCAGAGGCTCTGCAGGACAGTCCCAGGCTGGGAGCTGAGCGAGAGGTCCCGGGCACACCGACTGCGGGTGAGTGCTTGGCTGCCTTTGTCATTCCCAGCCCTCCCTTGCCTGCAGCTCTCCCTCGGAGCAACGCTTTCCCCTCTCCCTGCCTCCTTCTCCCTGCGCAGAGCCGTCCTGCCTGCTGCTTCCTCGCACCCTCCGCCAGCGCCGGCTGCCCTCTGGGATGGGCAGGCTCCTCGCCCCCTCTCAATGCCCCTTTAATACAAGCAGGGAAAGAATGGCAGTGTCCCCAGGCAGCCACTGCAGAGGCATCTGCAAGAAACACCGAGGACACTGTCCTGCATCCCAGGAGAAAGTTTCTTCCTGACCTGGCAGAGCCTGAGGCCACCTCCACCAGACCCTCCCTAGCCCCAGTCTTGGCTCTCCAGTGCTGCCCTTCACACCCGCAGCTCCCTGGACTTCACTGCCCCAGCCTGTCCCCTTCTCCAGGTCCCCCCTCATTACTTCCCAGCCCCAGGAGCAGTGCAGTTAGGCAGCACGGCAGGGACAGCAGCTCCGGGCTCCCACCGGGGCACCCGTGTCCCCCGTGGCTCGGCTCAGCACTGAGCAGAGGTCTCCCCAGCACAGGGAAGACCCCTGGCCACCTCCTGAGCCGCTCTCTTGCTCCTCAACACCTCTAATCCCACCTGGTCCGAGGAGATTTATACAGTCTGTAAAAGCAACTGTCCCCAGTTCTGGGGGATGATGAAGCCCTAGCGCTGGGGGGGTCACAGTCACTGCTCAGGGCCCTTGCGGTATGAAAACATACCCTTGTTGTGTCCCGTGGGGCTCTCCTCCCCACAGCGCCTGCCTTCCTCCTGAGTTTCTCAGCAGTGGCTCTCCCAGAGGCATCCCCAGACTGGCAACCTGTGAGTCCCCCAAGCCCTTTGCCTGGGGCTTTGTTCTCCCCTCTGTCAGGCTGACTCCCTCCGAAGCCGGGTGGCCAGATGGCCACAGGCCCTCCTCCAGAGAGCCGCAATGGCAAAGCTGCTCCCTGCCATGAGCCATTGCAGCCTGGCTGGGCTGTACCCCCCAGCACCAGCCCTGGGGGAGGTGGGCAAGGCAAGCAGACAGCATTAGCCCAGGACAGAGGTAGCCTCAGGGTGCAGTGTGCTGGCCAGACCTTGCTTGTGTGCGGACTCGGGATGCGCAGGCATTCGGCGGCCCCGGCTGAAGGGCAGCTGGGAAGGCAGGGCTGAGGGCGGCTGTCAGAGCTCCCCTCCAACTCCATGGCAGGAAAAGTGATGGATGTGCCTATTAACCGTGCCCCAGTTGTGCCATATCACTCTGGCACAACATTGCTGGATTGCTAAGTCGGATGGCAGCCAGGATACGGGTGTCGATCACCCAGTGCGTGCCCCAGGCTCCGCTGGAGCCTGCTGAGCCTCACCTGCCCTGCACCGAGCAGCAGCCCCGAAATCTCAGTGTGTGAAGACTCAGGCAGCCCCGGGCACCCTCCCACCCCCAGCACCCCTGGCTCTGAGGCAGCTCCCCGGGACTGAGCTGCAGAGGCGCAGGCAGTCCCTCGGCACCCAAAGCAAACCTGCTGCCACAGCGGGACCGAGCTCCGGGCACACAGGAGCCCCCTCATCCCCCCGGGCAGACACAGAGACAGAGTAGAGCAGAGGGACCCTGTCCTGCCCCCTCCAGCAGGCAGCAGCACAAAAGCATCTAGTGAAAAGTTTGTGTTTTGTTGTTCTTTCGTTTGTTTGACCCGTACAAAGAGCAATAAAAACATCCTAGACTCAGCAGCGTTTGGCAAAACAAACCCATCAGAAGGCGCAACCCCAAAACTATAGTCATGACGGATAACAGCGCCTCCTGTGTGTGTATATATATATATTTGTAGAGATTCTCTCTGTTGTGTACAGCTATGTACATACAAATGCATTGGCAAGTTGCAATCCAAGGATAGTGCACGAAAGAAATGAAAGGCAGATGCAAGACTGGTCCATGTGCAACAGTCAGAGGCCCTTTGGCCGCAAAGTTGCCAGCTCAGTCCCGCGTGGAGCCGCTCACAGCCCAGCCCCGGGGAACCAGCCTCGCAGCCAGCTCCCCGCTGGCACGGAACCGGGAAAGCCATCTGGCGAGGGGGTGCGCGGGGGGCAGGCAGCCTCAGCCCAGCCTCCCGGGGCAGGAGAGCCCACGGGAGAGGGGGAAAGGCACAGTGGACAAGACACGGCGCATTCCTGCTGGCGGATGAGCGGAGTGGAGAGGGCAGGAGGGGCTGGGGGTGGAAAGCGATGGGGGCAGAGCAGGGAGCACACAGCCGTCCCTTCATCCCCGGGGACTGGTGGTGCTGTTAGGATGGCACTCACGGAGGGACATGGCAGCACAGGGCAGTGGGTAGCACAGCGAAGGTCTCCCTTCTCCCCTGGCAGTGTTCCCCATGGGCAATGGGGGACCTCCGTCATCACCGGGCAGTGTCCCCCGGGGGTCTGTGCACTGCCCCTCTCCTGCCCCAGGAGAAGAAAACCCTGGGCATGGTGGGGCAGGGGATGCTTCCCTGGGTCATTATCCCCAGCTGACCCGCAAGAGGCCCCAGGGCGAGCTCCCCACACACTTCAGCGAGCCCAGGGCAGGCAGGAACCCTGGGGTGCTAGCCCTGGGGCTCGCTGCACCCCCCTGCACCACAGTGGGCTGGGACCAGCCAGCATCACCGCTTTCTCACGCCTGCCCTCGCACCCCTGGAGCTGCCCTGGCCACTGCTCATAACGAGCTGCGGGGGATGCAGGGCAGCTCCCGGGGTGCACGGGGGGAGCTGCCGCAGGCAGGGCAGGCGCTGGACCATGGAGGGGGCTGGGGCAGGCGGCAGCCGGCACTGCGGGGCCTGCAGCTGGGCTGGCAGTGCATTGCCGTGGCAGTTACGGATTGTGCAGGGCCCTGCAGCGAGGCTGGAGGAGGCAGTTTCAGCATCACGGGGTTGCTCGGGGGGGTTCCAGAGCTGCCCTGCCTCTGGGCCCGTGGCTGTGCCCAGTCCTTCCCAGCAAGCACCCAAAAAACTCCCAGCAGCTCTTCATCCCTAGCAGCCGTACCCCGCCGCTCCCCGCCACCGCGGTTTGGCACATCAGCAGAACATTCTCCATTAGAATTACCCTCCCCAAGAAGGAAACGAGCGCAAAAAAAGTCAGCCCAGCACCTTTGGCTGAGACGCTCAGGCTCAAAAATAGCCTGAGAGGCAGAAGGGTACATCCGTTACACACCAGGAGCCATTAGCGGCTCCAAAACCCAGCAGAGCTCAGAGACAGCGCGTGGGCTCACGGTCGTTACCCAGCCCTCGGCTTCCAAGCAGGCTGGGAGAGTCCCCGAGGAGCACGAGCTTCTTGTCGCAGCACCCTCGGCGCCGGCACACAGGACTTGCAAGGAGGAGACAGGCAGCTATTGGGGATCCCTTGGGGACGGGGACACCGGTGCCCGTGCCCCAGGCACAGCAGCAGTGCCTCAGGGGCAAGATGTGGCCCCGAGGGCAGGTGACTGCTGGCCCCCGCTCTCTTTTTCTAGAGGGACAGGGCGCAGACATCTGGGCATGGGGCTGCCCAGCCCCCTCTGCCCCTCCTGGCACCCCCTGCTTGGGGACCCTGCTCTTCCCCCTCTCCCACGCCACCCTGTCCCCAAAACCTTCCCACGCGGTGCTGGGGCACTCGGAGCAGGGGACAAGCCGGCCCCAGCTCAGCCTCGGGGGCAGCCTCGATGCGCTTCAGCCGCCCTCCCCAGCCCTGCCCGCTGCGGCCAGGCTCCGGGGACCTTCTCTCCGCGCCCTGCTCCAGGCTGGGGTGGGGAATCTAGATGGAAGGAGGGATGCTCTGGGGAGACAGAAATCCTTGCTCTGGGAAGCACATCAAGGGGGGGGTCACACTGTACAGGGGTGCAGAGGGAGGGGCGGGCAGGGGGGGCGTTACTTGGTGCCCTCATCTGGGTTGCCTTCGCCATCTGTCTTCCCTTCCTCCTCCGTCTTCTGGTCGTCCGTGTTCAGCCTCTGCTGCTTTTTCCGGCGCACGCATTTCACCACCATCAGCACCAGGATCACCACAGCCAAGAAGCCGCCTACGGAGGCGCCCACGATGACGGCCACCGTCGAGTCGTGCTTCGGGGGCTCTGGGGAGACAGGACACGGGCTCAGAGCAGCCAGCAAGAGCAACAGGGAACAGGCAGGGCTCAATCCCACCACTGGAGAGCAAACCCTGCCCATGGAACGCAGGGTGAGTCATAGAATAGACTCATAGAAGGCAGGGCAGAGAGCCAGCCTAGCACCCATGGGTGCCTGACAGCAGAGGGGACCCCGCTACCGCTTACCTTTTGTGAGCACCTTCAGGCTGATGCTGGCATGGCCCCGATGCCGGTCGGGGGGGTTCAGGACATAGCAGTTGTAGGTGCCCTCGTCCTCCAGCTGCACGTTTTTGAGGGTGAAGGACACGTCGTACTTGGTGGGGTTCCCGGTGAACTCCACCCGGTTCCCAAAGCGGTCCAGCTGCTTGTTCATGATCTTCGTCCGGAACTGCAGGAACTGGGCAACCCGCGGGGGAGAGGAGGTGAGAGAGCGTTTGGCACCCCCTGAGCTTCCCAGGCACCCCCCTCCCTGCACATACAGCACAGCAGTGCTCGCTCAGCTCCCCGAGCAGCAGGGTCCCCCCTCAGCTCTGCCCACCACAGTGGCCAGGGTCTCCTCGTGGCACCTCTCCCCACTCTGCCTTGCTTCTTTCCACAGTCGGTTGCTAATTTTCCCCATGGTGAAGGAGGGCCAGATAGCAGGAGCACACATAAGGAGAGGAGAAGTCCCAGGACCCCAAGGAAGGCACATGACTGCTTCCAGCTGGTCCCAGGTGCCCTTCTCAGCAGATCCCCAGCCCCAACGAGACTCACCAACTCCTCAGAGCAGTTCCCACACTCCTGGTAGGTCCAGTTGAGGGAGAACTGCTTGTTCTCCACTTTGTAGCAGGAGTTGAAGGTGCAGGAGAGCTTCACGGAGGAGCCATTCAAGGCGTTGATGGTGGCGGGAGCCATGACCTCCATGCCCAACCCTGTGGGTGCTGCCACAAACACAGAGAGCAGAGACACAGATGGGTTAGAAAGGGCTGAGCTGCTCTCCCCGTCCCACCCTGCTTGCCAGCCGGCCCCACAGAGCTCACCCTGGGGCCTGGGACTGCCCTTCAGCCACGTCCAACACTGTGGCCAGCCAGGACCAGAAGCGCCAGGGGGACAAGGAGGGAACAGCCCCAGCCCTGGCACCATCCCTTGGCCCTGCTCCGCAAGGGCTGATGACCCCTCTGTGCCATGCCTCGCCTGGTTGTGCCCGGTGCTCGGTTCTGCTGACTCCAGGCAAGCCCTGCTCCTTCCCCACTTAAAGGAGGCTTTCCTGCTGCGGAATCGATGCCGCTGTGCAAGGGGCTGAATGCAGCATCAGCATGCAGGGCTCAGCGCCGCAGCCGCCGAGAAATTTATGGCTGCGCTCATCAGATTTCCTTCCCAGCAGGACGCGCTACGGCTGCGAGGGCTGGGACCTGCCAAGGGCCAGCCCCTGGGGGCTGCAGGGGGAATGCAGATGCTCCCCCCACCCTGCCCAGTGGTGTTCACACAAGGATTCTCCAGCTGGGAATGACCGGGTCAATATCTGTCACCCCTGGGGGGACAAGGCCATTCCCTGCACCTTGGCCTTGCTGTGGCAGAGAAATGGGGACATTCCCTGGTGCAGGCTCACCTGAGGCATGGGCAGTGATGGGGTGTCCGTGCCCTGCTCCCTCTTCCACTCTTCCTGCAGCTCCCCTAGTCCCTGCTGCCCCAGCAGCCCCCGAAACCCAGTGCCTGCACCCAGCACCTTCTCCCCAGCCCGCAGAGGGGAGGGTGCACACACCGAGACAGGCTCCTGCGCAGCCATCGAGCTGCAAACTCCAAGGCTAAGCCCCGAGAAGCACAGGGATGGAAAACCCTGGGAGGGCTGCTGGGATGAAGCTATAAAGGGGGGCTGTGGCACCCCACAGGGCAGGGACAGGGACACTGGCAGCCGGTGCTTCTCCAGTCACCTCACCTCTCCCCTCTGGCTGCTGCTCTTTGCTCCCAAATCCTCTTCCCGAGGTGCTCCTGACTCCAGCCCTGTGGCCAAGCTGGGTGCATGGCTGCTCCGCTGGCTAATCCGCTGCGTCTGCAAGCAGGGCAGGAAAGGGGCCAGGCTCTGCAGCCAGGGAAAAGAGCCTTTTCCAAACTGCAGGTCTTGCTGCAAGGTGCAAACCGGCAGCACCCTGAAGCCATCTCTCTGGGGGCAGAGGGGTGCCCTCTGGGTATGGCAGCCTTGGCACCCTCCATCCAGCCCCACTGCACTGTGCCTGTGGTGGGGTGGCATGGCTCGTGCCACATCCTTGGGGCAGCCCAGGGCTCTGCAAAGGGCTGAGAGGCCACCAGGAGCCCTCCCAGGCTCTGCAGTGACGGGGCAGCCCTGGCCAGGGCTTTGCCGGCAGGCCGTGCTGCAGGCAGCCAGGATGCCATAGGCATGTGTCACCTATGTGCGCTGGTCCAAACTCTGCCACTGTCCCAGGCACCCAGCACTTGGGGGACAACAGAGGTGGGGAAAGAAAGGGCTAAAATCCCTGGGACCCTCTGTCCAAACTGTGTCCTTGGGCGCTGCGCACACTCCCAAACGCTCTGTCACGCTACCCCCTGCGCCCGGGAGGCAAAATGACAGGCAGCCTCGGGAGCAGACCTGCTGGGGTTTTCTCTCTCCTCCATTTCCCAGGCTCTCTCTCCCAAAGCAAAGGCAGCCCACCGGGAGCTCCAGGACGGTGCAAACAGCGCTTCAAAGAGGTGATGCGCTCCCGTTTCCAATCAATACAGACCCAAACCTGCTGACACACGCTGCTGGCGGCGGGGCAGGGCAGAAATGCAGAGACTGGGGTTCCCCCCCAACCCCGAGCAGCACTGCCAGCCCAGAGCCTGCCACCCCAGCAGCCAGCCACGCACCAGAGGACGGGCACAAGCCA